GGCACCCCGGTCACCCCGGTTGGGAAACACTGTTCTAAATAATGCCGCGAGTGGGGCTTGAGGAAGTGACGTCTGCGCAGTCAAAATAATAATAATAACGTGACTAAACGGGACGAAATAACGTTATAACATTTCGTTTCGTCTAGTTTTGGTCAATGAAAATGAAGAGACATTTTAGCATAGTTTTTATTTTGTAAACCACATTTAGTCTCGTTTTTATTCGTCAACGATATTGCATTATACATTTAATTATAGTCATCGTCACATGACCAGCATTTTCGTCTCGTCTCGTCTCGTTTTCGTCACGTAATAAAGGTTCGTTGACGACGATATTTAGTCATAATTTTCGTTGACGAAAGCAACACTAGAGGGGGGTGAATTTTTTTATAACTCGTGCTGTCACCACGTCGAGCTAGGTGGGCTTGGTTTCAGCAACCTGCTCCCGCCTCTTTGCCCATTTTCGATTATCCGGGAGTGACGCGCGGTGACGCGCTGCCAAGATGGCGACGGCCGGCTCCGCCTACTTTAGGCTTCAAAAACGCTCTTCGGAAACCTACGGGTGACGTCACGGACACTACGTCCATGTTTTTATACAGTCTATGGCTGAAACACTGCTTTAATAGAGTGGTGGAACTATGATGCCACTTTGTAGGCAAAAACCCAGAAGCGAGTTAGCATTTTAGCACTTCCGGTTCCATCGTCCCAGAGTCAATGGGTTTTTTGAATGGGATTTTGGTTAAATCCGTAAAATAAGGTCCGTGGTTCACACAAGCTCAAGATACACTATATTATTCTACGACATAAAACATACCAGTTACACCCCACTCGTGATTTTTTTAAACTGTTACGTTTCTTAAAAAAGATGGTTGCTAACAAGTTGCTAAATGGGACTACAGGCGCTGTCGGAGACATATAACGTCATCACGCCGAACAGTTTATCAATTTACAGTATTTTCCAGTCGTAGTATAATTTGTAATACAATTAATTGTAGAATAACCAGTTAATAGTTTCCCGCATTTTATATTGTTGTTCGACAGTGTTTTTTGTTTTGCCCCTCAATGCAACACAAGTCTTCGGATGGAAGATGCTCGTTTTATTGCTTTCCCACTGATGCAGAGACTCTGGGTTCGTACCATAAGGTAAACTCATATGATTATTCCATGTAAACACCACATTTACCGGCTTAGTCGCGGTGAAAGTGAAATTTTAACGATGAAAACGTTAATGTAGCGTGGATTAAAATTCATATACAGAGTAAATCCTTTTCACTGAACACGTTAAAAATAAGCTTGAAAAGTTGTGGGAAGCATGGTGGTGGTGACGTTGAAGGCGAGCGACCGTGGTGGTGTAGTTTGTTTATAGCCTAAGTTTAGCTTTTAAGTTCTGCCGCTTTTATTTAGGCTTCAAAATTCATAAAAGTTATATTATTTTGTGAAGACTATCTCGATGGACAAAACGTGTAAGTTTCATGAACTATGGTTGAACACAGAGCTTATTTTTTGCGATAATCCAAAAGTCTATGGAAAAATCCCATTGGCTTTTTGTCGAGGGAACCAGTGCGATGCTAACAGCTGATCCGCCTACAAAGTGACGTCATAGTTCCCCCACTCTATATGAACTATACAGAGACGAGTTGAAAAGAAAATACCACGTAAACTTTTCTGAAGACAGTCAGTTCCCCTCAGAAACACATTCAATACAGAGACGAGATTAAAAGAAAATACCACGTAAACTTTGCTGAAGACAGTCAGTTCCCCTCAGAAACACATTCATATAAACCCCCAAATCAATATTGAGGATTTTCTTCCTATAGTTCGTGCATCATGAACAGTGAGTAATCTGCCTGCTACAGTATTTTTCTCTTTGCGTCTGTCTTCAGCGTCTCTGACCTGTGTTTCACGGTTTCAAAACCGTGTTAATGGGCGTTTACGGACTTCATATTTTCACATAAATTACATTTTGGAAAATGATTGCATTGCAACGCAGTTTGTGCAAGTCCAAAACAGAGACGAGTTGCAATAAGACAAAAAACGTCCGGTTGCTGATCGCGTAAGTTCCAGGGGCAGCTCCTTAAGTTCTGCCATCCTACACACACGTGACTGACCGCTCGCTCGCACCAACAGAAGGAGGAGGGTCGTGTTACTCTCTACACTGCACTCAACCTGAGGGATTCCTACACTTTCAGTCTTTGAGGAGACATGAAAAACAGCGCATACCGCAGGAATGGTATAACGGAAAATATTAGTAGTTTTGAAACCGTGACATTTTCAAATCGCGGTATACCTTGAAACTGGTAATCGGCCCATGCCTAATGCAGTCATTGTAAGGGGAGTTTGTTCAATTCACTTATGTTCCAGGTTTAAACTTTTTTTTTAAATTGTATGAAGGTCACGTTAAACTACCATAACTTAGAATCTGTCAAATTATGTAAAATGTGTAAATATATTATTTAAAGGAGTCATATGATGCTGCTAAAAAGAACATTATTTTGTGTATTTGGTGTAATGAAATGTGTTTATGCGGTTTAAAGTAAAAAAAAAAACATTATTTTCCACATACTGTACATTATTGTTTCTCCTCTATGCCCCGCCTTTTTGAAACGCGTCGATTTTTACAAAGCTCATCAGTCTGAAAAGCGAGGTGTGCTCTGATTGGCCAGATATCCAATGCGTTGTGATTGGCCGAATACCTCAAGCGTGAGACGGAAATGTTACACCCCTCACCATACTGTTGATGCCGTCTCCCGGAGCGACAAGACAAAAAACATGAAAACCCATTATAAACGAGGCATTCGTTGCATCCAGTGGGGACATAATTACGGATTATAATGACTTATACTGTCTTTTTACGCGTTGCGTTGCATCGAGCCGCGTAAACATAAAACCATGTCTGCACTTGTGATCAGAGAAATGACAAACAACAAGCGCTACTCTACACTGCCCAAAACTCGCATTTGAATCATCGTGATGTAGACATGTGGGGGCGTGTTAGAACGAGCCGTTTTAGGTAGGTGTGGTTAACTCTTAACTTTTATAAAGAATATCTCTTTGGATTTGAGACTTTAGTCTTTGCAACTTTACAGATCTTCTTTATGCACCAAGAGCTTGTAACACTCCAAAGAGAAAGGACAAATTGAAATCGCATCATATGACCTCTTTAATTCTGTCTATTTATTAAAGTGCCAGCTATACAATTACCCATAGCAAGATAAACGAGTTGGCTATATTATTCCATAAATTTCCACACACACAAAAAAAAGCTGTTAAACACAATGCCCCATAAATGACATTTATTTATTTACTTATTTATGTACTTGTTATTTCAGAAGATAATGAAAATTTTAACAATTTTTCCAGACATACCTCTATATTCACTAGTGGACATTGTTAGTGAAAATAAATATATACAGTAAGTAACATTGTGAAAAGCGTTTTACAAGACTTTTTCACATGACCGAAAGTGTCTAAAGTTAATGAAACTAATAAATGTATCCAATTACAATAGATTACAGATGGAAAAAAGTGAAGAAAATTATTTAAATTATTACATACAGCATAAATTATACATTAAGTTAATGCAGCCATAGTCTAATGACAATGAAAGAGTGCAAAGCTAAGTTTGGAATCTAAGATGAATCTAGAAATATGTAGCTGTGATTTATGCATTGAATTCAGCAAAGACTCCAGCATTATCGGCAGGTTTTGAAACACTTGTGGCAGACGTCACAGCCGTTTTTCCTCTCATTTGTATAAAGTTTAACTTTTTGACACTTTCAACCCTTTCTTAGCTGTCAATCCCAAAGTTTCCCCTGGGAGCCTATTGCTCAGCTAGAGAATAAATTGGACGTGTACTGTTAGATTGCTTTAGGAGTTATGCTGTTGTGAAGACTTGTTAGTGAATACATAAACAAGTGAGATGAGCATGATAATATACAAATGTGTGTGTTCTCTCCCCAGGTGAATATCTCACTGGATGATGGGCGATCTCTGGGTTTGATGATCCGTGGAGGTGCTGAGTATGCTCTGGGCATTTATATCACCGGAGTGGACCGAGGGTCTGCTGCAGAGTACAGCGGACTAAAGGTAAAATATCTTGAGTCACAATTTGAGAAACTAACCTGGCAAATATTAGCCTATTTGAGAGCCTACTTTGACTTTAATACAATTATTTGTGCCTCGACTTGGACGTGAGTCGATTGCTTGAGACAAGTCCTTATTTCAGTCTAAATATTTTTTGGATGGGAGCAGTGTGCAGTGATTTGTTAATAAGGTTGCTAGAAGTCATCAGTCAATCAGTGATTCAGTCAGTCAGTGATTCATCAATAATGATGTAGTTGAAAACAGCTCATTTACTGGGTGCAAAATTTACATGCCACCTGACATCTGACAGGAAAGTTAATCATGTTTGAAACTGCAAGTCATTGTGTTTTGACGGGAAGTATTCTTCATCTCTTCGCTTAAAACAAACACAAATTGTGTCAGACATCTGACATGTTGACATCTGATTTTATTTTTTTGTAAAGCCAAAAGTGGCCAAAAGTGTTGCTGGGGTTCAGCATGACTGCATTTAGTGTGTCTAATTAAATTTGTGGTGTGAGTATATTGGTTGAGGTGGCCTCTGCCAAATGGGAAGATGTAGAAACAAAGCGGCACTAAATCCAAAGCTGGCCTCATAAAAGATTGAGCGAGCTCTTAACATTTTGGCATCAATCCATGGACAGAAAGATGAAAGATGTTTCCTCTTTCTCCATTCAGCCGGAGAATGGGCCGGGTAGGCTTTTTGGAAAATATCACAAGCCTGAGTCTCTTCATCATAGCATCAGTCTGCTTTAATCTGTTGAGATGAATTGTTTTGTTCGTAATAATCAACTCTTTGTGTTTTTATTTTGTTTATTTTACATGATATTACCAGTCTTCTTCCTCAGTCTCTGTCTCTCTTTGTAATCTTATGTGCTTGAGTTATTCAGTGATTTGGCTTCAGCAACTACCTCTGCCCCACCAGAGACAGATAAATATTTTACGTCACCTTTTTGGTAATTCAACTCCGTGCTTCTGCATGTCCACAACCATTCATTTGTATTCTTGCTGCTTTGCTGCATGGGAAAAATATTAACAAAAGGGTTGATTTGTAATCGTCTCATGTCAGGGCTGGTGTTTACTTGTGCTGGTGATAAAAAGTCAGACATAATTTGGCAGGATAGTGAGACAACACAACATTGAGACGGTTTTGTAGAATGTATTCTGGATCAGGATGGCAGTGTTAGAAGATCTGGTGTATCTGCACTGAAATGACAAGAATCACTCATCTGAACACAGAAACAAGAAAATTTTGGAAAGGGAGGACAGATGGTTAGCCTAGGTAACACATCTATAGTCAAGTCAAGTCTGCTTTATTGTCAATTCTTCCACATGTACAGCACATACATACAGAGAATTGAAATTGCGTTACTCTCAGAGCCTTGGTGCATACAGATAACACTAACAGTAGAACATAAATACAGATAGATACAGATTAAATATAAAATACAACTATACAAATATACAAATAAGGTCATGTAAAAAAATAAATAAAGCAGCACATGGCAGATAGAGTGCAAACCAGTGAAGTAAACAAACAGTGCAGATATAATGATTGTAGTGCAAAGAGCTTATTCAGACTGATTAAAGTGACAAAAAGCTTTCATATAGACCAACAGAGTCAAGGTTTGGTTGGGTAGCATGGCTGTTTGGTGTTAGCTGCAGCTTTGGTGGTAGATACTGCAGCTACACCATTTGGCTGCAGATAGCATCTTTCTCCATTAATAGCCATTCAACAATTACATATACTCTGATATTTATCATTGTATTATAGGCCTGGTAAATGTTTTACCAGTGCCCAATTTCTTTTGGAGTGCTCTTAATAGCTCAAAATGGATTGTTGGAGATGTTTTCCCTGTCTGCTGCCTCTAACGTCACAGCTCAGGATAGTTGCAAGTGGTTTGGACTGTATTTTTGTTGTGCCATTACTGATCGTGACATTTTTTGTCATTGTTGCTTTATCTCTAGAGCAGAGTTTTTAAAATTAGGTCTATGGACCCCCAGATAGCGTATTATTGTTATTATTATCAGTAGTAGTAGTAGTAGTATATACAGTATATATCCTACTGTTGTCATTATGGTTTCATTCTGCTTTCATGATCAGTGCAGTATAAAACTAGCTTATTTTATTTTGTAAGCAGTATGTTTATCTTTATAATATTGAATAATAGCATGATAATTTACTGTCTATTTTACCATTTGTACACAGTATAAATGGCTATATATTAAATATATTGGTATATGCTATGTGTACTGTATACCAATATATACTATGTATTGCTATTTTTTTTATTGTAACAAGTAGAGGGGAGGCGCCTCATTCCACACTTGAAACATAACATTTATGTAACATTTATGCAACACTTTTATCTGAAGCTACTTGCATTGCATTCAGTGTATACATTTTACATGTAGTACCTGCTGTGCCACAACTTCGATAGATGTATCTACTTTAAAGAAGATCCACCTTGCAGGCAGCAGACAGTGAGGTAAGAGAACATTTGTTTGTGATTATTATGTGACTTATGAAATGTCAAAACCACTTTTATGCTGATATTATCAGCTTATACAAAAAGAGCTCTTGTATAACCTAGACATACAAAAAACCTTGCATACACACCTGCACTTACAGTATACCACATGCTATGAATTTCTACCTCCATATTGCAGCTTTCCCAGAAATTACTGGGAAAAGGTCCCACTTTTGTCCATTTAATTGCATATTGCAATTATCAGCCCCAATAATCATGAGTCTTTCCTTGCGATAGATTTGAACCTTACCATATTACAAGAACATATAAATCTACTTAGCTCAACAGTGTTCTGTTGGACGCACAACTGTTGCCGTACTGCTCTAATGGAGAGCGGTGGTTGCGATGAGGAGATGAAAGATTGACTGCTTGCTTTTTTGGAGAGGCTTTTCATTTTGCTCTCTCTATAATTGTTTGGGTATTAGTGCTTCTTCATTGAACCTCTCATCAGTGGACCAGAGGTTCCACTCAAGAACTCCTCTAAACACCAGTCTACTCTCAATATGTCTAGACCACTGAAAAACTCTCTTATAGACACTAGAAGCAGAACTAAATAAGCAATGAAAGGATGCTAGACACACTTACCATGAACGATATGCTTAATTAAAATTTAAAAAGCTATGAGAATCAGAGGCAAATGTTTTTTGTGTCTTAATAAAAAGATTTATTGGGCAAGTGTGTTTACCTATGTGGAATTTACGTGACTTGCAGTACAATGACGATTTATATATATTTTCTATGGATAAACACCCATTTTACTGTTTGAAAAAATATATTTAGCATGATATTACAAAAGGTCACATGTTGTTTTTAAAATTTAAATAATACGATTTTATTTTGTCACTGTCCTCTGTCACGCTACGCTGGAGTCACGAGCGGGAGGCGACGAAGGAGGGAGGAGACAGGAGGGGCCCGGAGCAGGAGGAGCCCAGCTGGAGCCAGACCACAGCCGTAATGTCGACCCACGGTGGAGCCGACGGAGGAAGGAGCCATGGAGGAGGAATGGCCGCCGACTCCAAAGGGCCGACCAACGGCAGCGGAGCAGGTGGCGGAGGAGCCCGAGGCAGAGACCCAACGAGCCAGGGGGATGCCGAGGATCCAGGGGGGCCAGGGTGGAGCCGAGGGCTCTGGCGACCGAGGTGGAGA